AAGTCATACATGAAGGATCATGAAGGGTGGCTGTTTGGCATCTGGGCAGCTTGTCCTCCCCACCAAGCTACAACATCATTGGTCATACAACATGTTCTGGAAACTTGGAATAGCATGTTTCAGTCCTGAGCCTGATCTCTGCTGGTTACCACGTGGATTCCGCACTCTTGGTGTTTCTTTCTCGTATCTTTGCAGGCCGAGTTGCTTCAATTGGATGTTGGCCAAAAAGGAGAAGACCTACACCGAGGTGCTTCACTCATTACCGAGGTGCTTCACCCTTCACCGAGGTTTACTTCTGGTTCTTGAGGTGAGCTTCTTGGATTGGCTTTTGGCTTTTGGCGTCGCCACCAGGTTCATGCAAGTCGGCCAGCCCGCGGTCGGAAACGGAGAACAATTGACGTAGAAGAAATCACTGGCGGAGATGAAGTCAGAAGTTTAAGTGTCTAGGAATGTCTAGGATATGGGACATGAAAACGTTCACATTCATCCTGATTGTTTTTCTTTGTGACAGCAACAATCCATCCGGCTAGAAGTTAACCTCAGGCCTCAAGACACCACACCACACTCTCCAGGCCTGAACCGCTGAGTGTTCTTGGAAGAACGAGAGGCCAATGACTTCGCTGATCGGGCTTCGCCTCCCGAAGTCGATCGTTCTTGTGGCGTGCTGGGAGTCTGAGTGAACTATACTCGGTGTGGAGTCTTCCCGCTGGGTCCTATAACTCGAGCCAGAAAACCCTAGGACCATGTACAGAAAACCCTAGGAGCGTCACTAGTGACGGCTTTGGAGGCTTCCAATCGTTTATCGATCATGATACAGGTGGACGTTAGTAGAAGCTCAGCAAATGTTCCTGAAAACCAGGCTTTGTCTCTCCTTGGCTATACGCAACACTACCACAAGACCATGACAACCACCTGGTTAAGGCTGAGATCGCGTGGCCATTGATGAACTCCACGCGCAAAAAAAAACCGCGCGGCGTGATGCTACAGAAAAGTGCGGACGGATCAGCGACAACCCCAAGCACCCCAAAGAGGTGTTTTCAGATTAGGAACTATAGGTAGCTTCTTGCAACTAGTAGCGATGCACTTGCTCCGTTCGTAGCGATGCCCAGGCTACTAGTAGGTTCTTGCTACTAGTAGTAATGCCCGTGTTACTAGTAGCGATGCCCTAGCTATTGGTAGCGTCCTTGTGTGAACAGAGTTTCCCACACTGGTTCCTTCTACAACTCAGAAGCTGAGAGAATGTGTATTATACTTAGCATGGATGATGATTAGTGGACAATCAACATCAGCGGAAGTTTGGCAACGTAAAGTGAAATCATGAGCTCTTGCAAGCACTTGACCCTGCAAAGGTGTGTACAGTGTGCATGTATACCAGCCCGGTAACCACAAAACCACCTGGTCCATTCCCTGCCTACATGGTCACCCCATCCAACTCTCAAACCCATCCAACCCCCCAGTCCCCGTGCCCGCGCAGTGGTTTGGGATTCTGCAAATCTTGGAACACCTTTCGCAACTCCGAAGGGACGTCCTGGTCGCCGCAGTTTCGAGCGACCTGGTCGCCGCTTCGCATTTGGGCGCTTGAGAATGTTGAGCTACTTCAAGGTGGTCATGTCCGGAAGCTCCAGAAACTCCAAGCACTTGGGGATCTTCTTCAGTGAGGTTGTGTTCCCCTACTTCTCAAGGGAGCTGGACTTCCAACTCCAAACAGGGTGACTGATGCGCCCAGCGAGTGACGAATTGGATCGCCCAGCGAGTCTGGAGTTGCGAGCTGCGTGTGAAGTTGACGACCAAAGCAGGAAGCTTGGACCAAGGTGTGTAGTTTACGTTTTCTTTGGATTCTCAAGGTGTGCGTTTCTTCTTCACTTTTTCACATACCTTGGGTCACTCAACAAAAGAAGAAGGCTCCCAGTGGTGACCAAATGGACGATATTGAAGGAGTGCGTGAAGGGGTGCGTCGTTTTTCTTGCCCGACTGAAGTCCAAGTCCACTTGATGTTGACCGACTGAAGCGAAAGAAATTCCTTGACTCGGGTCACCTAGTCAGACCATTCTTGTTATCACCTGTGACTCCGGTATGCAGGAGGGGAGGTGCCGACCCACTCACTGGATGGGTTTAACATCTGGAACACCGGCAGAGTCTCGGCCGGCGCCCCTAAATCCTAAACCCAGACCATGCATGTGGAATAGTTATGACCCGAAAATGTGGATAGAACTGTTCACATGGATGGTCTGGGTCATATCGAACGCAGTCGAAGCAACGGACTCCTTCTGCGCTCGAGCCATATCCAGCTGCATGTGAGTCCCATACGATCCCGCAGCCGCGGAGGAAAAGACCTCGAAGGAGGAGACTAAACGAATATACATGCGAAATTGAGGAGGATACTCCATTCCCAATTGATCGATCCAAGTCTTTCATGGTCATTTGATGCCGATTTCAAGCAGTACTGTACGAAAGCGTATAGGCACAACAAAAACACACGCACAATCACGCACATGCAATCACATGCATCTAAGTCAAAGTCAGGATCAACGTAATGATCAAAGTACACAGTGTGGATCGGCACGAGGAGACTCCTTCCCAAGTCTTTCATCGGTTGCGATGACTTTCTGTACGTCTTCCCATCAGTAGAAATCGCTCGCGGGGACTTTATGTGGCTCGGGTTGCAGCTGCGATGGTCTTGACATCGCCATTGTGGACCTTCTGGGGTTGAGAGACTCCCACAAAATTGGACAATAATATAGTTAGGATTCTGCCTAAACTCCTCTTAGAGGCATCAAATCCGGCACTGGCTGCTTAAGCTAAGTGAACCTTTCATACACGAGCCCGAAATTCGGTCAGAAAGATCTGGGAGTTCATCTGGAGTGTCACTGGGCACGCCAGGCATAGGCGATGAGCACAGCTGCACCCCACATATCGATACCTGGCATGTGGTTCACAAAGACGATGCACATGACTCAGAAACCGGAGGTCTGTGACCAACCTGAACCTTGAGAAAAGCGTCGAACTTCACCATGGAACGAGAATTGCACGTACAAACCATGGTTCTCGTGTGAAACCCGTGTGAAACCCGTCGCCACCAAATGGCAATGCTTCAACACACCGAACCCATCAAACCTGCCCTGTGCTGTGGCACTGGACTCCCTTGTGGCCTATGGATGGGATGCCGCCCTCTTGCAAAGCAGCTGGAGGCTCAGGCCACCTGGGCAAACGTGGGTGAAAAAGGACACAAAGCCCGGAGTGATTCAGAGAACCACAAAGAGGGGCGGTTCTAAACATGGGCTGCGCAACCAAATGGTCGCTATGTGGCCAATGTTTTCCCACCGGGCTCCAAAGGAGGCAAAATAAGGCAAAACAACGGAGTTGAAGACTCGTCCTGCTTGTTGACCAGCTGCTTCTTAACAATCGCACGCACCCATGTGGCCACGATGAGATGGGTCACCCATGATGAGATTGGGCATTTGGGAAGAGAGGCATTCTGACAAAACCGGCGTCGACGACTTGAAAGCAGTTGAAAGCAAGGCTTAAAGTGATTCAGATGTGCATTGCTGATGCATGGGTGTTCAGTTCTCCTTCTTTCCCTTTCTAGCCTTTTCTGCTGGTGGGCCCGCCATGCTAGCCCAAACCTTATAGAAACATCTTGCTTAACAGAGCAAACATCATCATGATCGAATGGCAAAGACCTCGCATCTCCTAGATCAAGTCCACAAAAGGACTCGCAGCACCTGCATCATGTGGGTCCTTTTTCGGTCAAAAAAGGGTTCCCTGGCCGACCAAACTCACCTAGACTCAAGAACCTCAACAACCATCAAAAGCCAATTTAGTCCTGGAAGCATCGCTTCTACAGGTCACTCTCCCTAGATAAAACGGCAGGAAGGCCCTTCAAGTTTGCTTCCTTTCCAACTGAACTTGCTCCCAAATCCATGTCCCACCAAATCCTATCCTGTCAAGCCGCCCAGAAAAGCTTGGCCCCACCCTTCGTCTGGACGCCACCGCTGTACCTGAGGTCAGTCGCCTACATTCCACGGCAACATGCGCCACTTCGGACCACATGGATGCATGGAGCCGTGCCTTGGTCGTGTATTTTACAAGAAAACAGCTCCATGGCAGCACCTGTTGGTCCCTCCATGTGAGGCCTCACAGCAGATCGAACTGACAGAGTTGGGCACTGGTATCCAGTCCTTTTTGGCAAAGTTCAAAGCTCCCAAGCCTCCGAGAGGGGTCTCGAACATCTTGCGGGTGATGAGGGTTAAAGCACTATAGACATCAATCCTAGGACTTCCTAACGACTATTATTTTAGTAGTTTCTGGAAAAACCATCTTTTCATTGACATTGCAGAAGCTTTTGCCTGACGGCGTTTTTTGATTCTTGAGGTCTTGTCTGAGTGTGCTCGCTTCGACCTGTCCTTCTAGCTCCCATCAACCCAGATTTCATAGATTATCAAGCACAATCAAGTTCTCAAAGGATCCCTTCTGTTTTAGTATGCTCTAACGAACTTGAGGTAAGAGATGTTAACAAGCTTTTGGTATCCCACTCTTGGTCTCAAAGGGTATCAAGATGTACCAACTCCAAATCGTGCCAACACCCGCCCGCAAGAGCCATGCGCTCAAGAAATGCTCGCGGCCATGTGCGCCCGGATTTTTTCAGGAACAGCTCAAGCGTCATTGCAGGTTCGTGCACCTGCACAGGGTGGACAGTGAACTGGCCACCTGCATCATCGCAGGTACTCTCTTCATGAAGACATGAAGGCTTTCCAATCGAAGGTGCGCTGCACCCCTGCATGCCATGTAGAAGTGTCATGAACTGTTGAGAAGGCACGTGCTTAATTAAAGAACAATCTATGCAAGAAAGAAGTATGCAGTACATTCTGTGAACTTTCATTTCATGCATGCCCAATCTCGTGGGTAGTCACTGCAACAATCAAGTACTTGTTTGTTTTTTGTTGTTAGCTATTGGCTCTAACCATCCCAAACTCGCGTTCACTGAAAGTGGATCAGTGATCATGTCGACCGACACCCTCGAGTCCGTTGACCAGGAGGTCAACCCCGGCCTGTGGCCTGATGAAGGTGTAGTGGCGATCGCCTTAGAGGCCGATCGCTCCATACGTGAGAGCTTCCGTCTTCATGACCGGTGCACGAACTGGCCAGACGAGAAGACAGTGGGCATCCAATCAGTGAAAGCAATGAGATTGAATGCACGTGCGCTGGAGATCCTTGCTGAGCATTGGTGCCAAAAAACACCGTATGCCAAGACAATTCCCATTGACTTCATGAGACGGGAGGCATCCAAGTTTGCATCAAAGAGTTCTGAAGTTTTGTTGGGTACTGAAAAACTTTTGTTGGATACAGGAGGGGCCAGGATTGTAAATCACATGCACAGGTGGTGCAGAAAGGGTTGCATACCAATTAGTTGAACTAACAGATCTTATGGAAAGGGGATCCGCTGTCGTCCTGACCACCGCCAAGCCCCTGCAAGGTTACCATGCTTCGAAAAATCCTTGGAAGGCCCGAAGACGCTTGCATGATGCATTTAGACGCGTCTGGACTCAAGAAGCTGTTTTCGCATGGTGTGCGGCGCTTCTCGAGCAGGGCTGCTACACGAGACCCTGGGCAAAGCCTGGCAAACTGATAGTTTATAAACAGTTTATCGAATAGCCTAAACTGATGGTATTGTAGTAGTGCTGGAAACCTCACTCTCTACCTCTAGTGGTACTTGGATTTTGGGATGTAAGGAACCTGCTTTGGAGCGCTTCTTTCAGATCTTGGAGATTTTTTGGGCGGATGGTGCCGCCGCTGATGGTGCCCCCACTGATGGTCCAACTGAAGCTGATGGATCCACAGCTGCAGGTGGTGCGCCCCCCTCTTCGCCCGCTGGTGCCCCCACTGATGGTTCCACGCCAGCTGCTGATGAATCCACGGTTGCACCTACAGTGGCGGCTGATCGCCAGGAGGGTGAGGATGATGGTTCCAATCCTTTAGAGCCCACAGCTGCTGAAGTTTTGGATCCATACATGATTCCCTCACAAGTGGCAGGGGAACCTAAAGAATCTTCAGTGGAAGTTTCCAGTTCTTTGGAAGATCTGGGTTCAGAAAGGGCCGGAGATCTGGTTGAGCCAACCCCCCCCCCATCCCAATCACTGGTGTTTGGCGATGATGCCCCAATGGCACCCTCGGTTCCCGAGCCGGAAGATTCGCGCTCTGCTCAACCCACCTCAGAGACTGGGCTCATTCGTGGGAAAGCTGCATCCGACCTTGAAACCGATCCAGAACATCAGGAGGTTCCGGTACCAAAAACGCAAGTCTTTGACTTGCCCCTGAAGAGGGAGGCTGTTGAAGCAAGAATTGCAGCTTTGAGGAGCGCGATCGACCAAAGAGATTGTTTCTTTATTTACCAGGCTAGCGCCTGCACCCGCCGACCCCCAGGGGTCAGACCACAGGCAGCCAAATGGGTTAGGATTTTTCGAAAAATCGGGGAACCCAAAAAGCAACACGGAACCCCTAGAGACATGATCTGTCACTGCATCACCAAAGT